TTTATTTTTGGAGCGTAATAAATACCTACACAAGATGATAATAAGATGACATTTCTCCTCTACAGACAAAACTGATAATCGCAGAAGGAAACTGCGCGAACAAAAAAATACCCTAGTGCCTGCTATATGATTAAAGCTCTTTCTCAAGGTTTTATGGAACAATCCGAGGAAAAATCTAAACTTTTAATCAATCAATTAAAAATTGAGATGAGGTATTTACCTGTAACGGCGATAGGGCTCTCTGTAAGCGGAATACTCAGGATCGAAGAAGCTCAAATTAGCGTCTGTATCCATCTCCATCACAACTTAAGAGGCTTAAACCCTAAAAAACTCAACTGTTCAGTGAGCGAGATTTAAAACCCTAGCGAATCGAAGGAGGGAATTTGGGGGAGGTGCAAAGATTTTAGAAACGGGGTAGAAACGAAAGCGGCTCTTCGACTGTTATTAGATCCATACCCGATCTGGTATTTTTTTTTTCACTTAACCCAAAACACTACTCACATTTACTTTCAAACCCAAAATATTCCACTGGATTGTTTGGAAACCCGCTTTGGTATTATTCATTTATTTGTTGCAAGTTGCTGCATTTTTTGGACAAATTTTCAAAATAAACCCTTTTTGAAACTTATTGTTAAAAAACAATATGTTTCAATTTTAATTATCAAAACCGACCTAAATTTAACCTCAGAGCTGAAATTGGATCGGTTTTGGCGAAAAACGTTCCCAAACTTCACGGGAGTTGAACTCCCGTGAAGTTTTTTACATAACAAAACTTTAAAAGGGAGTTGAACTCCCGTGAAGTTTGAAAAAAAAATTCGTCAAAACCCATCCAGTTTCAGCCCTGAGGCTGAAACTATGTCGGTTTTGGTAATTAAAGTTGAAACAGATCGTTTTTGGGGAATATTTTCGCAAAATAGTTGGTTTTGAAAATTTATCCGTATTTTTTTATATATTGATATATTTTATTGCGAATTATTACATTTTCATTGTGAGATGTTATATACGTTTGTTGTAAATTATTATATTTTGATGTAAGTAACAGTAAGTTGCAGCATACTAAACTACAAAAACACGTAGAGTATGGTTTAAGAGTGATTATGGAATTAGGTGGACTAAAAAATTAATGGTGATGCTTCGGGATTATAGTAACAAAATTACATGTTCAAAGATCTGAAGCGTAGCCTCATATATTGGATCTAAACCGTGTTATTGGAAAATCGCAGCAAATCAGAAGTGGATCTATTTTATAGGTAGAAACAACTATCCAATACTTAACTTACATATATTAAAATTTGGATTAACTACATCAAGAAACTATTTATACATAATTAGTAGCAAAATGGAATTTCCCTGAGATTTAATAATAATGTTTAAAGATTAAAAATAATTATTTTCAACTATTAATAATAACTATGTAGGTTCTTGTGTTATGTCTAGAATAGATAATTGATTATGTTTATATTTAATATTTATTAACAAAACATGATAAAATAACATATTGTTCTCTATCATTCTCTTAGTTGTTTAGTTGAAATCCCGCTCCAGAAACGATAGACATATTCCAACTCAATGAGGCAGAAGCAGGAGATAAATTATTAAATATTTAGATTTGACATGTAAAATTCTAAATATATTTTTGAGTATGTAAATTAGAGAAAAAACAATAACACTTGTTAGAATATCATAGACCATCTTTAATGTCCAATAACATTGGCGCATGCATCTTTTACTATAGTATACTTTAAAAAAAAGCTAAATAAACTCAGCAAAGGATGCCAAATCCGCTTCCTCATTCTCATTTTTTTGACACGTGCCATACCATCTAAATCGATCATTTTAATGGCTATGATATATTGACCTTTAATTTAAATAACTACATATATAGTAAAAACCAATTTATTATCAATCATTGTATCTTTTATAATATCTTTTATAACTAATTCTAATAATCACAAATCAACATAATATTAAATCCTAGTTGAGAATCCCAATGAGTTGTTTCTTCTCAAAACAAAAGTTTTCTCCTGTTTTAATTTTTCTAGGAAAGAAAATATTATTGGGAAAAAAATCTCTATTTTTTTTGTTTTATTTTTTAACAGAAAAAATATTATATGAAGAAACCTTCTCTGTAGCATTTGCAGCTATCACATGTTTTAAATAGCATCAAGAATTAAATCCATCACCAAGAATTCATTAAGAATTGTAGCCAATCACCAAGATCCGTCATCAAGAACCAACAAAGAGTCTGAGCCAATCACCGAGAAATCATCAAGAGTCTGAGCCTTCCGTCAAAGATTTTTAAGCGTGAGTTCTCTTACGTTAAGAGTTTGCAGACTTTTTTACCTTTTCAAACTATGAGTTTTGTTGTCCTAAGAGTTTGTAATTTCTCCTCCATTAATAGTTTGCACTTTAATATAAAAAGATTTTCAAACTTTAGTTCTCCTGCATTAAAATTTGCTTTGTGTGTTGTTGTTGGGTTTTTTTTTTGTGAGTTTGTTGTTCTTGTCTATCAAAGATTATCAAACTATGAGATTCTCCTACATTTTTGATAAAAGGTAAGAGTTTGTTTTTCTCCTGCATTAAGAGTTTTGCACTTTCTATTGCATTAGTAGTTGGCACTTTGTCCATTAAAGATTTGCAAAAGTTTGAGATTTTCCTAATCGATGAAGGTTTTCATCGTTTAACCTATAGTACATTACATTGGTTTCCTTCAATATCTCGTCGCACCATAATCATCATATGAGTCTAAAAAAATATTGGTAAGATGCAAATTTTGTTCATTTTTAAAGATTAATAAAGGAGATTTAAACTCTTGGAAAAAATTCATTTAAAATGTATGAGAAAACGGTTACATCTCATTCGCATTATTTACATGATTTTGTATGACCATGTAGAAAAACACGTGTCAATAATGAAGCTTTGTAAATAGCACGTTAGCAAACAACTATAGGTCTATTACATAAGGCTATCTATTTGGGCCTGGGCCCAACTCGATTTTCGGACTGGACCCAACCGGACCTGAGCCTGCACGGACGTGGGAAAAGCCCGGATTTCTGGGCCGAACAGGGCTTCAGGCCCAGGTCGCCGCGGTGAAGCCTGTACCGAGCCCAGCCCGACCTGGCTCAGCCCAGCCAGGAAGATGGCCGAGCCAGGTAGCTCGGGTCATGGTTTGGCCCTGTCCCGGCTGATGAATTTGGACCAAGCCGGGTCGGCCAGGGCCGTGGCCAAATGGTCACAATTGTGACCATTGGATCGGGGCCTGGCCCGGTGGCCATTTGTGACGGTTTCCCAGGCGGCCCAGCCCAATCTACCAAAAATAGCCTAATACGTTGAAAAATCTAGATCTTTTCTTTAATTTGGACCTAAGGATGTAATCATGCTTCATTGCATTTCTTTTTCTAATTGATGCATAAACACCCAAAAAAAGAAAAAGAAAAGAAAAAAATCCTTAGATTATGTTTTGAAAATGAGACAATAGGGTACTGATGACCTTTTTCTTATTTGTTAAGTTGAAACCTACCAATAACTACTAAGTCAGTGCTTTATAATTGGAAGGCAACAAGGTCTGAAAATGAGACAACAATTGTTGAAATTATGATTAAAATTCTTAGATTTTATTGTGTAAATTTCCAAATTCAATCTTTTGGAATATACAATTAATATCACTTGTGAAAGGGGACGTTAATTATTGAAGTGGGATTAAAATTCTTTCAGCGGTCCAAATTCTGATAATAAATATTTTAGTAGTTTTACAATTTTGCCCCTGGAAACCTCTTAGGTGTTTTAAATAGCATTTGCAGCTATCAAATGTTTTAAATAGCATCAAGAATTAAATCCATCGCCAATAATTCATCAAGAATCGTAGTCAATCACTGTCACGCCCCGTTTCCCAAAATACCCGGGGAATCAGAACGTGAACAAGTCCGCGACGTATTAAATTGAGAAGAAATATACACTATCATTTTCTTTTCTTTTCTTCTCAATCCAATACGCTAAGCGTCAAATATATAAATATCAATAAAGACATCCACAAACTTGTCCAATACATCATAGAATATCAGATTCATCAGGTTCATGAATGTCGTCGGCGCATTAGTCTTACCAAACGGCATCACTAAGAAAAAGCAGCGGCTTTTGAGAGGGTTTTTGGCATCCCCTTTGTGTGAGATTTGAGAGTTTTGTTTGAGGGTTTAAGTTGTGTGATTGTAAACCCTATTTTCACTCTCTCCTTCTAATAGTAGATCTCCCCCTCCTTGCCCCGTGGACATAGGCAATTTACCAAACCACGTTAAAATTGATTTTTCGTGATGTGATTTGTAATAGAGAGTTTAGGTTCCCTCAATAGGTCAGTCCTAGAACTGATGAGAGAAAGAGCTGATATCCCACTTTGTTGAGATATTTTGTTTTCGGTTCTTATTTTCTTTGTGAAACAGGGATTTAGTTGAGATCTACTCTCTTGTCGAGCACCAGAGGTACTGCTAAAATTTCCGCTACACACAATAAAATGTTGCTCCAACAGGCTCCCTATGTTGGAGACTAAATATAGGGAATATGAGTTGGTATTCCAAATCAAGGATAACAAAGTGACTCCCTATATTTAGTCTCAACATAGGGAGCGTTGTTAGAGTAACTTTCTCACCTCCTACTCCCTATATTTATTCTAGGACATGAGATAAGGAGCCATTTGGGGAGTATTGTTGGAGCACTTACTCATTATTTGGAAAACTTAAGATCACTCTTAGAGATGCTCTGACATGATCAACCATCATTTTCACTCGAGAGGTAGGTTAATTTCAACAACCTCGTTTCCTAACAAGACTATCCCTCTCATAGATATATCTAATTAAAAATCAAAAGATTTGAATTGAATTTATGACCTATAGTTTCTAGTGTTTAAGATTAATTAGGCGCCATGTTAGAAAATAAGGTACCAAACTTTTGATCAACTACTTTAACAAAAGAGGATTTTTTTTTTTTTGATGAATTTACTATGGACACCTTGCATCTTACAATTTCCTTAAAAAAAACATCCCCTCTATGCAAAAAAAATATATTAGACATTGTTTCACAAATAAACACCTCAAAATTTTCTCTTGGATAAGCAAACCAAACTCAGGTAACTTTATTGTAAATATGGATTATATGAATCAATTTTTTAAAAAAGCTCCAAAGTTCACTAATTTCTCTTTCATTTTCATTTTCGTTTCTTTCTCTTGTAATTAGTGTTTGCTGATTTCGACCTTTGGAAGAATTGATGCCAGCTGAAACATTTTGTATGGACATAAAAAATTAAGAAAATAGCTCCAAATTGCCACAAAAGTCAGCTCTACCAACTGTTCAACCCTCTCATTGAAGGCTAATTTGGATGCTTGTTGCTTGTAGTGATTAATATGCTTTATTATTTATATAACAAAATGTAGGCAATCACTAACCTTTCGTTGACGACCTTGACAGATTTAGAGAAGTACAAAATTTCAAGGTGATAGGGTTTCTGTTCAATTTTCATTGTTAAGAGGATATCATAAATAAGAAGTTCTTATTAAAAAAAACTTTAATTTTTTTTGGCAACGTGAAAAACTTGGTTTGGGGACTTATATAGGGCTGTCCATTTTACCCGCTGGCCCGGGCCCGGCCCGGAGCCAGGCCGTAGAACAACTTATCTATTGTCATGCGATTAATTCCAAAATAAATTTGTACTTGTAATTTGTAAATGATTTATTAATTATTAATAAAGAATTTATTTTTATCCTTTTTTATTTGTAATTTATGCCATTTTAAGTAATTAATAAAATTATTGTTTTTATTATTTTTCTTGTTTTTTTATAATTTATAATTTAAATAACATAAAAAAATTTAGAAAAAAATTAAAAAAAAAGAAAATCATCCGGGCCAGCCCGGAACCCGGCCCGGGGTACCCGGGTCCGGGTCCCGGTTTTGCCCGGCCCGGGCCGGCCCGGATGGACAGGCCTAGACTTATACACCTTAGGGAAAGCTTGAGATCGAGCTCTTGCACCACCAAGAACACTCAATGCTTTTAATAAATAAAACCTTATGAACCGGGGCCTATCTCATTTCCATCACAATTCCAAGAAAGCCAACAAAATTATTCGAACATTGGACAGTTGAGTAGGAAGCAAACACATCCAACCAATCCGGCGATCACGATAGGCGTTAAAAAGACATTAGTTTCAATGATTAACAAACTTATGGTAGGTTTAAGTTTTGAAAAATGGCCAATTGGCTAAATGATGAAATTTGCAAAACTAAGCTTTATAGTTTGTGTAAACTTTACTGTAAAGTGCAATTTGGACAGCTCATGCCCTTTCCCTTCTCTTTACATTTTGCCCAAAACATCCTTGAAATGTATGCAATCCAAGATGACACGTATACTAATAACACACAAGGACTTTTTTGTTTTAGTTCCTCAAATCATATATAATTTCAAGAGATGCCCAAAATCATAATCAGACCTTTAGTTAGGGGTTTTATGATATTTTGTCCCTTAAGTCTTTCCTATTTTGACTTAGTCCCTAAAGCCGTTAGAATTGCTATCAGGCCCTCAAATCTTATGTTATTTTGAACCAAGGTTCGACCACCTCAAACAAGTTTTGTGTAGGATGTATTTGGCAACTCACTAAAATTAGACCACACTTGTTCATTAACCTAGTTTTGGAAAGAATTGCTTTAGATGTGCATCAAATAAACTTGTTTACTTTTGGACTAGTTTTTAACAATCAATAAAACAGGATCAGGTCCAAATCTGGTCAGTTTTGTAAGGGTTACCAAACACACCCTAAGTTTTAGTTTGTGTAAACTTTACTGTAAAGTGCAATTTGGAAAGCTCAGAACATCCTTGAAATGTATACAATCTGAAATGAACTAGATACTAATATGCAAAGTTTTTTTTTGAATACATACATAATCTCAAAGGGATATTCAAAATCATATGAAATATAGTAACATGTGATCTTTTTAAATTAGAGAGAACCAACAAAAAGAAGTTGAAACATTACACTTATTACCTATATTTGCACTTTCAAATCTTGTAAGTAAGAGGGAAGAATGTCACATGTGATTTGTTTATGTCAGATAGTTAATTGTGGGGATAATTGGATATTTAGAGGAGTTTAGGGTCTCTTGATCTTCTTTGGTGGCTAATCAACCAGAAGGAAAGATGTTTCCTACACAAGTAACACCATTAGAGGATGAGAGTTAGGTTTTCCGATGTGCCCTCCGATGCTCACATTAGTCACTGCTTGAAGAGATATGCAAAATATAGTTTCAGTGTATTACACAACAAAAATTGTGTTACCTTTATGAGATGGGCATGGACATTATTTATAAGAAGTTGGGGAGGACATTTTGATAAATTGACTGGGTTGTCGAAGTCAACTGATTAGGCAGCACTTTACATGTGTTGGTCATCGAGTGAGTGAGTCACCTTTGCATTTAATGCGACAGTGATAGAACTGCTGAAGTGCTGTCATCGTCTGAGGAGTCATTTTGAGTTCCGCGGGGGAAGTCATAATGACTCTAGCCATGCATTAAACACGATAGTGACTGGGTTACGTAACTAGCCAGGTGAAGCAAGCAGATCGTCTCGTTGTTTGAGACCATTGTACAATGAGTTCGAGCGGAGGACGTCTTTCATCTCGGGTCTCAGATGCTTCGAGTAATGCCCAAGCACAAGACACCTTTTGTCTCAGACTTGTGTCTTCAAAAGGGGTCGGCCTTGCTCGCATCCGGACCGGGTGTTTAGATTTGCAGAACTCGGCTAATTAAACATGACACGTGGTCGACTTTGGAGGGTTCATTGTACTTAATAATTTTCAGGGTGTAACACGATTCATCTAAAAACACTTAAAATAACTATCATCCAACGGTTTTAATTCAAGACAAAGGTATTGCAATTCAGTCCCCTAGTAACCAAAGCACCCCCTCACTTCATTCTTTGGCATGAACCTCCTCACGTTCATAAAAAAAACATTAGCTAATGTCTCACATAGTTAGGATTTGAGGGGTACGTCAGCAAACCCAAAGACGCGAGGGACCCAAGGCTAAAAATAACCCTCGAAAGGAAGGGATCTTTTCACCGCCCCCCTCAGCAAATTAAAACCTTACATTTCTCGCCCCCCTCGGCCCGGCGGCGGCCATCATCGGAACATTCAAGCGAGAATCTTCTCCCCCTCCGCCAGCAAAAAAAAATTCCTCACTCACCCAACTCCCACACAACTCTCTAAAATTAGACCATTAGATTATTCAACAACCAAACCCCCCACCATCTTCACCGAACAAAACCCATTAATTCTTCCCCCAAAAAATAATCTCAAGAGCTCAGCGGATGCCCAAATCCATTGGAAAATTCACAAGATGCCCACCTTCGTCCTCCTCCTCCTCCTCCTCCTCTTCATCCCCTCCTCCTCCCCTCAGCCCACCTCGAATCTCTCGTCCCCGTGCCCTCTGGACTTCTCCGTCCTCAAAAAGTTCATCTCCCCCGCAAAAGCCAACCCCTCATGGCTCCCAGTAGACACCCCGACCGCTGCAACTACGCTCTCCAAGCCCTTCACCTGGTTCAGGCCCACTACCTCAGAGCCCACTCCCTCTTTCTCCCCCTCTCAACTCCTCCTCATCCTGCTGGCAAAATTACCAGTCTCTCCTCGGTGCCCTCGCCCCATCTTCCCCCATCAAGAGTCGGTGAGGTCGAGCGGGTTAGCGGGGTAGGCTGGGTAGGGATTGGGGATCGCGATTTCTGAGGGGTTGGGTCAAAGCGCCAAAAGAGACGGGGGCGGTCACGGGTGGGAAATGGGAATTAAAGTGCACTGCACGGGATTACCAGTCCCGTGCAGTTCGGTCTCTGCAAAACCGCCCCTTTTCTTTTGAAAAGGGTCGATTTTGCTTATTTTTTGTTTAGGGGGTCGATTTTGCTTAATAAATTAAGAAAAAGGGTGTTTTTAAAAATTTGTCCATATATATATATATATATTTCCACACAATTTTTAGCACATAGGGGCTAATTGGCAACTGAAAAGTAGATCGAAAATAGATAGTGAAGACAAAGCACTTGCCCTCGACTATCTATTTTGTAAATCTTGTATGGCAAAATGGAAAGGACAAATGTGAAAGTTGAGGTGGCGGCTGATGTGGCATCCACTTTCTTTATATGTATGTTTGGTTTCTTCGGACAACAGATTGTAGAAGTATATTTTTTTAATTCTTGGCGAGGCGGCAATCGATGAGGGGGAGGGAGAGGTTGGAGAAGTTGAAGGTTAGGGACAGGGATACTAGATCACAAGCGTTGGAGAATATAAGCGCGAGCGCGACGTTGGTCAAGTTCGGTTTCGATGAGATTAAGTACGCGACGAGGAGTTTCTCGAGGGAGAACATTGTAGGGAAGGGAGGGTATGGAAATGTCTATAAAGGTAGGTTGAAGGACGGGTCGGAGGTGGCTCTCAAGAGGTTCAAGAACTGCTCGGCTGCCGGTGACGCGAGCTTTGCTCACGAGGTGGAGGTGATTGCTAGTGTTAGACACATGAATCTTATGGCGCTGAGGGGGTATTGCACCGCGACGACAACGATGGAGGGGCATCAGAGGATTATAGTTTGTGATTTGATGAAGAATGGGAGCTTGCACGATCATCTATTTGGCTCTGATGGGAGGAAGTTGAGTTGGCCAATTAGGCAAAAGATTGCGGTTGGGACTGCGAGAGGGTTAGCTTACCTACATTACGGAGCTCAACCCACGATATTGCATAGAGATATTAAGGCAAGCAATATTCTGTTAGATGAACGGTTTGAGGCGAAGGTGGCTGATTTTGGATTGGCTCGATTTGCTCCTGAGGGGATGACTCATGTTAGCACTAGGGTTGCCGGTACTCTTGGCTATGTAGCTCCGGAGTATGCTTTGTATGGGCAATTAACCGAGAAGAGTGATGTTTTTAGCTTTGGTGTGGTGTTGCTTGAGCTTTTGAGCGGGAAGAAGGCATTTTTAACTACAGATGATGGGCAAAACTCTCTTTTGACGGATTGGGCTTGGTCATTGGTGAGAAAAGGGAAGCCGTTGGATGTTATTGAAGAGGGCATGGAGGAGATGGGACCAAAAGAAATTATGGAAAAATATGTTCTTGTTGCTGTGCTTTCTTCTCATCCCCAGTTACATGCAAGGCCAACAATGGATCAGATAGTGAAGATTTTGGAGACTGATTTGGCCGTTCCTACCATTCCAGACCGGCCTTTACCTCTTGTGGCGAATTTGGATGAGATTGAGAGGTCAGTGAGCAGTAGCGGGTCGGGGCACTTGTCCAGTGTTTCTGGCTACCAGCAATTTGCCTTTGGAAATGAAGTTTCGGTTCTTATTGATCGAACAGAGTCTGATCCTGGCACGCCAGGATAGATCTCTGGTATGTACGCTTTGCATTGTTTGTTGATTTAGCTTGTCTGATATTAATGTTACAAATGAGGGTTTCTTTTGTAAATAATGTTAATTTTTTTTTGTAGATTTTATTACATTTGAGGAAAGAGTTTGTGTTAACATTTGATATTTTTTGGATCTAATGATGGTTAAACTTTTCATTAAGGCTCAAGGTATCGCATATGATTATTGATAGCGTGGTTCTTGTTCATCATTGACACTGCTTGAAATTTCACATCCCTCATTCTCCTACAAAAAATCTGGATGTATTATTAATTAGATGTCATTGCTAAAATTCATGAATATATATTGCCTTATTCGCTTGTAAGTATTTATTATACTTTTCACATGACTTTTGGATGAGAAAACGTGTTTGTAAAATTTTGTAATTTTTTTCTTTTCTTGAGGTATGTTGTATTGTCAGTAATGATCAATTTACGAAGTGATCATCATGGCCACGGTTTATAAATGTATTGCAACTTTGAGATCTGCTATGGTAATAATAATGCATTGAAGAGAATTCCATAGTATCTTATAGCAATAATTCACACCAGCTCTTATATGCCACTCCCCTCAAATAAAGGCCAGTTTGTCAAAACTCCTCAAGACTAAGGCCCAATTTTCAGAAGAGTGATCATAAGTAAGGGGATGATGAATCTATATGTCACCGTCAGTGACTTCCTTTAATTAATCTGCCTAGGTTACTTACTTCTTTATTTTCTTCTCTCTTCGCTACTTGGAATCTATACCACTGGTGGGATGCTAAATACCTTGTTTTTTGCTAAATGCGCAGAGCAAACCATCTGAGAGATTAAGCCTGTATCTTCTAGGTAGTTAAGTTTTCACGACGTCATATACATCGATTTTTTCCGCCATGTTATTAGCTTTTGCCCTTTGTTGTGGCAATCAACCAGAGCCTTCTCAATTTATTTTTGTTTCTGTTCAGATCCTGGTATCTTCTGAGCCAAATGTTCTATCTGCTGGTGTGTTTGTATGTTCTTCGATGTTTATTTCGATCTCATCACTGTCTACAGCTATTAACATTTTTAATGATAGTGCTTATACAAAATGTTGTTCAAGACAAACTGAATCTTGTTATTGTCCAATCGTGGCATGTGTTTAATTCCCAGGAAGCGAAGGAAATAAAGGAAACTGTTGCAAACAACTAGCTTTCCTTTCTGATCTGAAATAGAATGCATGTAGGTTTGGCGTTATGCTGCTTGAGAAGTTTAGAAAAAATAAGGCATTTGTCTTGACCGATAATATGGATTTTTTATAACATATCGGTTTTGATTATTAGCGTGTAAGGCAAGAAAATCAAATGGCACTTGCAGTTTTTAGGAGTTAATTAGAGGTTAAGGTATTGTTGCTGGACCAAATTGTGAAGATTTGAGCTGTTGCTGGACCAAATTGTGAAGATTTGAGCTTTCAATATGAGATAGACCCCTCCTCCTAACTTAAAAGTTCTTTTGACTATAGGAGATTAATAAGCAGCAATAGATTGGATCACCAAGTTTTCTCTGAGGGCCATGAGTTTTACCTTTGAAAATTACAAGATCGGTTCTGAATCTTCTGATTGCACTACCAAACAGGGAAGGAAGAATTGTCACGACTACTACTAAATTTGGTTCAACGGAAGGGATTTTAAGATAGTGTCAGACTATCTAAGTTAAAATCCACCAAGCATGCATTTTAAATAGGAGTTTTACACGGGGACATTTCAGAGCATAAAATTGTAGGTTTCAACACTCACCACAACTTCAGAGCTTGGTTGCATCAGAAGGGACTATAGGGTCTTGTGTTATGTCAGTGAAACTGCAGTATTAGTAGGTAAAGTAACATTTCTACGTCGCAAGAAATTGATTTCCAACAAATAGTTTACATGTGGACTATGTACAATATCATTTTATTTGAATATAGTAGTCGTATGTCAATCCTTCAGGTGATTTACTATAGATTGCATCTGAATGTAACAATCAACCATTTTGCTTGAGACGGGGGGAAGCGTCGTATATGGACTGGTACCTTATGCTGGCTCTTGCCAGGATACTGGTAAGACAAGCCTCGAACCAAAATGCTCTTACATAAGTTCTTAAAATCTGGCTTTTCATATTAAAGTTATATAGTTCTGAATGCAGCAGAGTTCGAATTCTAAGGACTTCAGAAATTATATGTTTGTTACTTGTTGGAAAATTATAAGTTATGTGTCTCTGATATGTCTTGTCTGGACAAATGTAAGGGAGAACAAAAAGAATGTCATCGAAGTAGATATATCTGGCAAGTATACTATCACTTAAGATGCGCTAATAAAGAGTTGGTTGCTTGAGAGGAAAACATTTTATTGGAAGAATAGCAATAGAGTCTGAACCCCACTGCAAATTTGTGTCAATGTTAAAATATTTTGTTATTTTGTCAAACTTTACTTTTTCTCATGATTCTGAAGTATGTTGTAAATTTCCTAGATAATCTTTAATAATGTTACTATTTGTAATATCTGATTTCTCAATATAATTCAGTTCAGTCTTCTTAGCGCTTTGCAAACCATAAGCATGTAGTAACATTGTGTAAAAATTGCTACAGATTATATGTCAAGTTTAAATTATCATCTCATGATTTTTTTTATTTCGGGTACCTTTCTGATATTTTCTACAGTTTATGCATCAAACAGAAAAATAAATTTATTGAAACATGATATATTGCGTCCTCGTGTCGAAAAGAAAATACCTATAATGTTATTTATGGTTTGTAAGATTGTGCTTGAGAGAGAGCACTAGGAAGCTGTAATATAATGTCTTCTTTAGTTATCTCAAAGTTTATTGTATGAAAGTTTCAGCATAAATTAAGTATTGGATAATTGTTTTAGGAAACATTGTAAGCCAAAATGTGTCAAGGCCTTGATATGGGAGTTACCATCATATCTAGAAATTGTAGCCAGAAATATGAAGGCCTATAAATTAGTTGGGTTGGTGAATAATATTTAACGTTTGCATAGTTTGTAAAAGCCTAGTTTTTGGTATACGTGGTTGCTGCTAGTGTGATGTACCAAGTATCTTTTACTGGTACTTATTTTTGCACAGGATATACAGAAGTCTCATAAATGCTTTGGATTAGATGTAAACCAATTTTTAATGCATTTTAAATGAATTTGTTTTGGTAAAGTTGAATTTGTTTTCGCAAACAAACACTGTATTTTACATGCATGAATAACTAAGCTCTCTCGATAGCTCTCCGGTATGCATGCCTGAGTTGGTTTGATTTAGCTTGTCTGATATTAATGTTTAAAATGAGGGTTTCCTCCGTAAATAATGTTAAATATTTCATTTTTTTTATTTTTACATTTGAGGAAAGAGTTCATGTAGCATTTGAACTTTTAGTTCTAAATAGTATGATGGTTACCCTTTTCGTTAAGCCTGAATGTATCATATGAATGATTGTGCTATTGCTTGTTTATCTTGGAAGTGTTCATGCAGCATTTCACATTGCTTTCTGGTGAGAATGTGTGCTTGTCAAAGACCGTTGTGCAATTTTTGGATTTGCGGGGGTTGTTTCTGTTACACCGGTCGATTGTGGCATTATTTGTTTTACTGAATTTATAATGTTCATGATTGTTAAATGTGTTGGTCTTCTTGTTTTTATGATGATTTAACAAACAATTTATAACTAATATTGGTTTTAGTATTTTGTTTTGTGTTGTTTAGTATAAACAGGAAATTGAGTAAAATTGATATTGAAGCCTATGCAAATCAAGTCAATCAATCAAGTTCAAGCTTAAGAAGAATCATTCTTGGTATACTTAGTACAGGTTTATATAATGTGTACAGATTCTACAAGCTCAAATTTACACACACATTCATTTGTGAATTTTCTCAAATATAGGTGTTTTTATGCAACAAGCTCAAATTTACACACACATTCATTTGTGAATTTTCTCAAATATAGGTGTTTTTATGCAAAATATATTTTAATATGCTTTGGACTACACAAACATTGTTAACATCTTTTATTAAGTTCATAAAATTATTACACAAGTTTTCAGAACTTAGTTTGAGCTAAATGTCAAAATCAACATGTTTAAAACACATGTATTTTTAGTGCTTTTGAAATTTTTTGAGATTTCACAAATGGTAAGAACAAATTGAAAAATTTCTTTTCCAACATGTTCATAATCATGTTTATAAACTTTTCCCATAGTTTTATATTTTTTAGAATTTATTTGATATTTTTGAAAGGACTTTAAAATTTATTTTCAAAATTTCATACAGGTTGAAAACTGGTTATCAGTCGACTGATGAAACTGCCTGCAATTATCAAAATTATCTGTTTTAATATTGGTCGACTGACCAGTCGACTGATGATGTCATCAGTCAACTGATCGTGCCCATCAGTCGACCGATGAGCTGCCAGTTGCCTATAACTGTCAGCTCATCAGTCGACTGATACGAGCCGTCAGTCGACCAATAAGCACCAACGGCTATTTTTTCCAGCTTTTGTTATTCTGTCTTTTTTGCTAGATTCTATTGGGTTTTGAGCTTGGTTTTCATCCTATATAAACCCTATATTTTTGACTTCTGATATCAATCTAAGAGGGTTTTAAAAAGAGTTTAAAGAGTTTTAAAGTTTGTTTAAGTTTCTTGAGTTTGTGTTTACAAAGAGGAAGCTTACATTTTTAATTGAGGAATTCATCTTCAATCTTCTTCATCCTCTATTGTGTTTATAGAGAAGTTTTTCTAACTCTTTTCTCTAGCAATTTATTACTGATTTTCACATTCTCATTATTGCTAGTTTGCTAATTGAGTTAGATTTCATTTATACTCATTTTATCACACATACCCTATTTGAGCTTTTAGTATTTCATACACCATTTATTGGATTGTGGGATTGTGATATTGTGAGAATGAGCTTATATTGTGTTCTCATCTATTGTAGAGAACAGAATCTTGTATTTTAAGCTTTATTGTGAGTTACACGTTGTATTATACTTGTACACCGAGTGGAGTGTGTGGTGAGAGACGGGGTCGGTTCCGAGAGGAGTGGGGTCGGTAGTAAAGCCTAGTGAGATGTTGTAATTCCGAACACTTGAGGAAGGTGACACGGGCTAGACCAACACTTAGAGGGTGTAGAGTGTGATTGCAAGTGTGTAAGTTGTAAAGTTTTCGGTGAACTAGAAAATCGAGTTGTGAGGTGTAAACGTTATTCGGGTGAGCGTAGAAAGCCCGGTTGTGATAGTGGAGATCTCCTCGAGGTGATGAGGTGTAAACGTTATTCGGGTGAGCGTAGAAAGCCCGGTTGTGATAGTGGAGATCTCCTCGAGGTGACGAGCGGAGATGTAGGTCAAGTGGTTGACTGAATTCCGTGAACATATCGTGTGTTTGTGATTGTTTTTGTGCACTATCACTCTTGTTTAGTTATTGTTTGTTCATATATCCTTGCCTTAATCTATTGTATATCAAAATTGTTAGGATGTATTTGTTAGTAAGTTTTAATCAACATTAATATCTAATAAGATTAGCATAAACCCTATTCACCTCCCTCTAGGGGTTTTTCAAAATACCCACGCCATCTAAATATATTTCATTAGCCATACATCCTTAGTTGCATAAGTACCTCTATTTGATTTGTTAATCTTAAGGATTACATAATTATTTCAATTATTAATAGTAAAATATGTGGTTCCTCTGATATGTCCATGAAGGCTACATATTAGTGATTAGGTTAAGGAATAGTACTAGGGGTGCATTCGGTCCGGATACGGCTTGGATATGATACTTATCATATCCATATCCGCTTACCCATCTCGGATACGGATACGGATATGAATACGGATATACCTCGGTAAGAAAAATTTATAACCATATCAACTAAAATCGGATACGGTTACGGATATACATGCGGATATATAAGCGGATATGCATGCAGATACAAAACAAATATGAGAAAACTAGATAGTATTGAGAAAAACACATAGTTCATGTGATACAAAAGAGTTTGTTAATATGTCCATTATAATTGAAAAGTTAAGATTAGACATCTTGATCATTAAAATTAACCACAAATCCATAATCTAAGAATCAAAACTATCCGTAAGAGTATGACTAATATGTATTCGGATATTTCGGATACAAATACGGATATTTCACTATAAAACCATATCCGTAACCATATCCTATCAGTTATAGATTTGAGTAACCATATTCGTATCCTAACGGATAAGGTTACAGATATTTTCTCGGATACGGATATGGTTTACACCCCTAAATAGTACACACGATATACAAAGGTCATATGAATTTTGTAAACCTCTACCCTTTGGAAGTGCCACTTGGCAAAAGTTCCATTAATTTGGCAAAAAATAGGCTTTCTCCCTCCTTCTACACGTCTCACGAGGTTTGTTCATCTTTTGTAGCAATTTTTATTTTCTTAAATGAATAATAGCCCTTGATTGGAGGAGCTTAATGCTTGGGGATATGTCAGACTTCAATTTTTGGACTTTCGGTAAGAGTGCTGCTGCAGGGATCCCAAAATAGGGGACTCTGAGTGCGATAGGTGAGTTGTCGTCTCACTGTCCCGTGATGCGATGTTCACGAATAGTGCATCACGGGACAGTGAGACGACAACTCACCTGTCGCACTCATGGTCCCCTATTTTAAGATCCCTGAGATATTTTTCTTCTAGTAATTAACATCTAACGTTTTCTTTTCAGCAGAATCATCTTAAAGAATTGTCAGCCTCTCACATTTGAAAATTGAGAAAACTTGTTAGGACATAGGCATCTAACTTGTTAGGACATAGGCATCGATCAGACAATGATAAATTCTTTATCAACTCTCTAACTAGTTTTCAAATTTCAATTTTTAAATTTGGTTATGGTTCCAATGCACCCATGTCAATCTCCAATCAGTTTTATGTTCAACATTTGATTCTTAGGGCCTGTTCGTTTGCCTAAAAAAGAGGGAAATCAAAGAAATGGAAAACTATTAAAATGAATAATTGTTTTTGGAGTGTTTGGTTGGCTAAAAAAGAAGGAAATCAAAGAAATAAAATTGAAATGATGTTAGTTGTCACCTTATTATTGGATGATGTTTGTGATTTTTTAAGAAAACTAGTTTTGGAGTGTTCGGTTGGCGAAAAAAAATAAGGAAATGAATTATTAGAAACATATTTCCTGTAGTTTCTTGTTTTCTTTTGTTCGGTTCATTCTTAAAAATAAAAAAATAAAATGAGATGAGATGAGTTGTCATTGTATTATTGGGTGATGTGAAGAAAGATTAAGAAAAGTGTTTTCATAACTTTTTTGGATGAAAATGAAGAAATGAAATGTTAATAAGATGATGTGAATTGTTATAATATTTTATTGGATGATGTGAGTGATTTGAAATGATGAGAAGAGATGAGTTGAGTGATGTTTGGATGAAAATAATATTTTATTAGATGTGATGTATGAGTTGTTAGATGAAAATAATATTTTATTAGATATAATGGATGAGTGGTTAGATGAAAATCATATTTTATTAGATGATGTGGATGAGTTGTTGGATGAAAATAATATTTTATTGGATGTTGTGGGTGAGTTTTAGGGATGGAAATGGAGGAAATGATGAGTTTTGAGATTTTCACCATTTCCATTTCCATTTCTTGGTTTTTAGAAAACAAACGAACAGGCCCTTAAATGTAAGTATATAGAACAACTTCATGATTTCATCTGGAAACTCACATAAAAGCAATGGTTGTAAAGAGTTTTCCTAATGAAATCTCAAACTTAAAGGAAGTTATTCGATAAATCATAAAGTGCAGTTATGGGGGGTTATTTGATAATTGTCCAAAGTTATATAATTTGAAAAGAAGGAGGGAATGTAAAATAGTAATAATAACAAGATATTTGGTCACAATAGTCCTAAATATGGTATGCGATAATTACATGAGAATATTCCCTAGAATATTCTTACTTGAGACTAACAAAAGTCTAGTAATCTACTAAATTGGGAGAATTTAGGGTATTTAAGTGCTATATTTTACAATTTAGGGCATGTAAGTATAAAAGGTAGTTAGGGATGGGCGTGAGCTGGGTCGGTTCAGGCCCGTGACTCGGCCCATTGGGTTCAAGGTTAGGCTGAGCCTGAGCTAGACTCGGCCAGGTCACAGTGGGTCGAGCCTACTTCTTTGATCCCGGGTCTGGGACTAGACCCAGCTCAGGACATAACCCGCTTAGGTGCGTGCTGGGTCTGATCCGGGCCACGGCTTGTGGATCATGGGCCGGCCCATGTATCTCCAACTTTTTTCTTTTTTTACCTTTATAATTATATTAAACTTGTATTTACAATTATAAGACTTTTTTTCTAATTTATTTTTTAGTAATTTAAACTTGTATTAAACTATTTTTAAACTTTTTAATCCTTCTAAGTAGACAACAGCAAGCTTACAGATCGTTGCTTATTTTCTCAATGTGGCAAAAAGCCCACGAGCTGAAGACCTATAGTATTTTAACTTTGTTAGTAGCTAGATGCAGGCCCAAATGGCTAAAGGAATAAGTAGCCTAACTAAAAAAATATATCGTGGGCCAAACCTATTTTTCTGACCCAGGATCTGAGGCTAGACTCAGCTCGACACATGACGGGCTCGGTCGGTTCAGCTCGCTGGTCGACCCAGCCCCTGCCCTACCCTAAAGGTAGTGAAACAATAAGATATTTAAGTGCCAATTAACAAAAAATATCTTACTAAATATCCTGAAAGAGTAGGGGCTCATCTACAAATTTACCCTAAAATTTTAAATCTATAAAACCACCGGATCTTGGCCCAAAGCCCATTTTCAGAATCAAGCCCTAAACCCCCCTCTCATTAATCCACAAAACCCTCATCCTTTCTCTTAAAAACCCTAACCCCGCTGCTCTCGACGCCGGCGATCTTCATCGATCCGATCAAATCTCATCATCGGCGATCTCTCGGTTAAACCCTAACCCTAACTCAATTTCAAATATCGTTCCTCGATTACAGTAGATGGATTCGATCCCTAACGAAACCCTAGAAACCCTCTCCCAATGTTTTCTCCACACTCTCTCCCCCTTGCGCGGAGCACCGCCGGCACGACCGAATCCACCCTCTGCCGAGGCCGGCCGACGACGCTCTCTTCTCGTCGCCCTCTCACGCCTCCTCTCCGCGCCGCCGCCGAGCCTCAGGTCGCCTTCGCCGGCCATCAACCTCAAGAACCTCCTCCGATCTCGCTACCTCTCGCTCCCCGACGCCGAGCGGGCTCAGCTCAAAACCCTAATCCCCTCGATCCTGCTCTCCTCCCCCCCTCGAATCCAGCCCCAGCTCTCCGAAACCCTAGCCATCATCTCCTCCCATGACTTCCCCAATTCGTGGCCCTCCCTCCTGCCCGACCTCGTCGCCGCGCTCCGATCCGCTGCCGACTACTCCGCCATCAACAGCGTGCTCGCAGCTTTCAACTCGATTTTCTCCAAGTTTCGGCATTCGTATGATACCCAGGCGCTGCGGCTTGGGTTTGCTGCCCCGCTTCTTGAGGTTTTTATGAAGACGTCTGCTTTGATTGCCGGAGGGAATCATAGTGCCCCGTTGTTTGAGTCGCAGAGGCTCTGCTGTGAGATTTTCTACTCGATGAATTCGATTGAGCTGCCCGAGTTCTTTGAGGATCATATGAAGGAGTGGATGGGTGAGTTTTTGGTTTATTTGACTACTACTTATTCGGGGAATGTGGAGGCTGAGGGGGTCGTGGACTCCTTGCGGGCGGCCATTTGTAATAACTTGCAGCTTTATATGGAGAAGAATGAGGAGGAGTTTAGGCCGTACCTTGGTGGGTTTGCTTCTGCTGTGTATAATTTGTTGACGACAGCAGCGCCATCGGCTTCACCTGCCCGGGTATGAGTTGACTATTACGGCGATCAAGTTCTTGACAACGGTGAGCACGAGCGTGCACCATAGTCTATTTGGGTCTGCGGATATATTGCAGCAGATTTGTGGCAGCATTGTGTTTCCTAATTTGAGGTTGAGGGATGAGGATGAGGAGCTGTTTGATATGAACTACATTGAGTACATCCGGAGGGATATCGAGGGGAGTGATATTGATACTAGGAGGAGGATTGTCTGTGAACTACTTCGAGGGCTTGCTACGAATTACAAAGATCAGGTGACCAACTTGGTTTCGAGTCAGATACAAAACATGCTGGCTGTGTATGCTGCGAACCCTAGTGAGAACTGGAAGGAGAAAGACTGTGCAATATATCTTGTGGTCTCTCTCGGAGCCAAGGCAGCAGCTGGTGGGGTCCAATTGGTTGATGTGGATAGTTTCTTTTTAAACGTGATTGTCCCTGAGCTGCAGGGGCCAGATGTGAATGCATACCCTATGCTCAAAGCAGGTGCCCTCAAGTTTCTTACTGTCTTCAGAGAGCAGATCCCGAAGCAGGCAGCAGTTAGTTTGCTGCCAAATGTGATTGGTTTGTTGCGCGCTGAATCGAACGTGGTACATTCGTATGCCGCAAACTGTTTAGAGAAGCTCTTGTTGGTGAAGGACAAAGTGCAGTCTGGTCCCAATGTTGTTGTTGTCCAGGCACGCTACAGTTCTGCTGACATCGACCCATACGTGTTGATGTTGATTACCAATCTAGCTGGAGCCTTGAAGTTCCCAGAATCGCAGGAGAACCCGTATGTGATGAAGTGTATCATGAGAATTCTGAAGGTTGCCTCGATTAGTGAGGAGGCTGCGAACTTCTGTATTGATGGCCTCACCTCTATTCTTGTTGAGGTGTGCAAGAACCCAAAGAGCCCGTTATTCAACCATTACCTGTTTGAGGCTATAGCTGCACTAGTTGGGCGTTCCTGTGAGAAAAATCCTATGTTGATCATTCTTTTTGAGGCCAAGCTTTTCCCAGTTCTCCAGAATATCCTGGTTAATGACATCTCGGAGTTCTGGCCATATGCATTCCAGATATTTGCGCAACTTGTTGACATGAGTCAGCCACCTCTGTCAGAAAATTACATGCAACTATTTCAGACATTGCTCACTCCTGCTTCTTGGGAGAGGTCAGCCAATGTCCCGGCGTTGGTCCGGCTGCTGCAGGCTTATTTGCAGAAGATTCCGAATGAGCTGAGCAGTGGTGGGAGACTGGGTCAGGTACTTGGAATATTTCATAACCTTGTTATGGCTCCTAAGACAGAAGATCTTGGTTTTTATGTGCTCAATACTGTTGTGGAGAACCTTGGCCATGATATGATAGCACCTTACCTTAATGATATATGGAAGGCCCTATTTACACGACTGCAGGGTAAGCATAATGTCAAGTTTGTCAACTGCTTAGTGATCTTGATGTCGCTGGTTTTGGTCAAGCATGGGCCAACAGTGCTTGTGAGCTCGATAAATGCAGTCCAATCCAATATTTTTACTGCTATTGTTGACAAGTTTTGGATCCCAGCTCTTAAACTCATCTCTGGTCAGATTGAGGTGAAGCTAACTTCAGTTGCTTCGACAAGATTAATCTGTGAATCCCCAGCCCTTTTGGATCCTGCAGCTGTTGAGCTTTGGGGGAAGATGCTTAACGGTATTATTACTTTGTTGGCCCAGCCCGAGAAAAATGGAATAGATTTAGAAGCAGACGTGCAAGAAATTCCAGAATCTACGGGCTATTCTGCATCCTTTGCTCGCTTACAAAGTGCTGGGAAGAAGGAGGAGGATCCTCTGAAGGAGATAAAAGACCCAAAAGGGTTTTTAGTAACTTCTTTGGCTAGACTTTCATCAGCTTCCCCTGGAAGGTACCCTGCAGTTATTGAACAGTATGTGGATCCTTCTAATCGGGCTGTTCTTCTCCAGCTATGTGGAACATACAATTGCACTATAGTCTAAAGGTAACAAGCTTCCCTGAAGAATTTTATCCTTCATTCATGTTTTTTAAGCATCACTTTGGTTGATTTTGACCTCTATATGATGAATTGCTTAATAGAATATGCTCTACTAATCTGTGTTATTTGCTTTGTGACTGACATTTTTTTGCTTTGCTCTCCTCCCCATATGTTTCAACTTTCAAGGCAGTTTATTGTCATATGAATGCAATTCACTTGCTTGCATCCAGGATTTGAAACTGAATAAAAGTCAGATATACGATTTTCAACAACATTTACTGGTCAAGATGTTTCTTAATTTATAATAATAATAGTAATTATTATTATTTTTTGCTAGTGAACTAGGTAGAATGTACTTTTACTTTTGGTCATCCTATGCTCGTCTTGTCACAATTAGACAACTATTGGTAGAGGATTACATGTCTATACACTTCAAAGCTATGTGATCCAGATAATATTGCCGTCATCAAACTGACTGGTACGACTGTTCTTCTGTCGTTTTTAGCTTGCTGTAATGTTCTTAAGTAGCGAGCTTTGATTGCGTTCTTATTTTAGAGGACAGAGAATGTAAAATTCCTTTTTTAATCCTAAATAAAGGAAAGTGGACAAGAGCTAAGGTAATTTGACTATTAAAGTGTATTAAGTTGATTGTAACTTTAAGTTAAGGTTTTGATGGGAGAGCAAGTGGAGATGTTGTAAAGGAGAAAAATGAGAAATTTCAGGTTACTTATAACAGTTTAAATCCTTTTCTCCTCTTGGGTAGTTAACTAGTTATGGATGAATACTAATCATGTTCAAGATGAGGTTATATGATATACGTTATTTGCATATAATACTAAATAAGTTGATGAGAATTAAGGCCAGAGGAAAAAATTGTCCCTAGACCAGGCAGGCTTAGGAAGCTTCAGAGCCTAAAGGGTTTAGAATCAGTAAATAAAATGCGGAACTTAATATATGAGAAAGATTGAGGTAGGATGAAATTTGATGGTAAAAAATACTCATAAGATGATCATTTTCGCTATTAGGGTCAATATTTAATCATTAAAGGCTGTTTAGCTGGGCAGCAAATGCAGAAGTGGAAAAAAATGTGCTTGGGTATAATTTCTGACATATGAACTGTCTGATAGTCTAGCAATCAATCAACCTCTTTTTGGAAGGTAGGCATCAAAGAATAGGTAAAGTAGGGTGAAGCATGTTAACTTGCTAGCCATTTATCAATTCAAAATCTTTTTGAAAGGTAGGTTCTATGAAATAGGTGAAGTTGCTGGGGGGAGCGTATTAATTTCTCATTTATCTCTTCAATTTTATGTTGGATATTTCTTTATAATTCAGGATTAGTAATGCAATGAATGGGACTGACTGGAGTAGTCTGTCGTATAGTAATTTTTTAAATCTAATTGTTGATCAAAACTCCATTTATTGTTTTTAGTTGGACTTGGTATTTCAATGTGTTAAGGTAAATTGTTACGTTAACATATGATATCAAAGGCTATGCATAGGATTTCTTAAGTAATTACATAATTTGGATACTTGATTCAAATCCTGCATCCTGAGTGCCATTAGATGATTGGGTGTTCCCTAGGCCCTCTTTTGTGCGAGAAAGATTCTGCTTTAGTTTTCATGCAGTAGAGGAACGACAATATGGCAACAAATACCATAATTGTTTTCTCCTATAGCAATTATGATTGGTGTTTCACTTTTAAAAAAGAGCTCTGCCAATAATCGACCAAATGTTGAAATTATATTTAATTTACTTTATGAGCAAGATAATCATCTCTAGAACTTGCATGACTAAAATCTCTGTTGAACCTTGATTGCTAACTGTCTGCATTTGTTCTCAACTTATTACTCATACAGGTTTAGTTCATGCAAACAAAGAGCAAGGTTTCTAATTTCTGTAGCGAACACCATTACTGGGACACAGAATACTATAGACAGAATCACATTGCTGAAGATGTTAACATAGACATTGTTGAATTGTGTGGGTGTCCTGTTATAAAATTATAATTTGATGATTTCCCAGACCATCTTATTTAGTTTTAGTAGATGCTTGGAAATGTAACATGGCTTCCATGGGACATAATACATCAAGAACCCGCCATCAAACATCTTAGGACTTGGTGCTTGAGATATTGACAACATTAACTACAAGGAACTATATAACTTATATTGGAGATATCAATAAACCTTTTAATGCAACTTGAAGTACGGAAGAGTGGAGAAGAATATGACTCCTTTGCTAATGAAACCATTCTTATCTTGGACAATTCTTTCGTTTGTGCTATTGAAAGTTGTGATTCCTTGAGAATCTAAGAGTTCCTTACGGGTAATGTTTCTGTTTCCGCATTAGAACATTGAACAAGAGTAATAGAGGTTTAGACAAAAAAGTTATTGGGAAGAGTATGACTGGGATTTGCACTTATATTTAGGGCATGGAATTATAGAATTGTTATGAAGATGGAGAATTTGGATTATTGACAGAATTTCATATCATTTTTCCATCTGATGATTCCTGTCCCTTTTTGTATGACTAGATTTTCAGATCTCACATACTCAAACTACATTATCTAAACACGAATCATAAAAACAAGGCATGATTTTTAATTATTGTCCTTGTTAATATCTGCGACACACATGCGTGCGCACGCGCATGCAAATATCTTGGAGAGGGTTTTCAAGCAGATTTAAATCTTCTTAATACAACCATCAGTCTGTTTATCATAAAGAATGGCACTGGCCATTGTGCACTACTCTATAGTAATTATTTGTGCGTAATTTTTGTTCTCTGGCTTGTTGTTGGTAATACGCAAAGACAAATTTACAGCTATTCTTTTATTAAGGCTGAAAATTGACTCTGTTGTATCCTTTGCAGGGGTTGCTTTGTTGGAGTATCAGCTTCCCTTGAAATTTCAACTCCTGGTATCCTTTCTGGACTCTTACTGATTAATTAATCTCATAGACCGTTAGTTTTCTGGGAGTTTTTGTTTTGTATTGTGGACTCCTGAGTTCTTGAGGAGCATGAACGTCTTGCATGTGAAACTTTCGCAAGTTTGTGATGTGTATGCCTGCATACAACTAAGTGATTATCATTTAGGACACACAAAATTGATAGTTAATCCTATTCTCTCTTTTCCCTTGGACATGACTACCTTTCTCGTCCAATCTGTTAGTAGTCGTGATATCCATCCAAAGCTTCTCTTCTAGTCAGCAAGGCCCTCTCTCTGTAAAACCTGTCATTTGATTTCATGCCTATAAGCTTATCACTGCATTAACTCAGTTTGCCAGCACTTCTCTTTTTTGAGTGCATGTGTCACATAAGTTGAATCTGCATCACATAATATCATCTGATAAATATTATTTAGTCCCAGCATTAGATATATGCATGTATCTGATTTATATCTTTTGCTTCCTAAGGTGTATTATGTCATATGTATGTATCATGTACTTTGGTTGTAGAGGGTGGTCTGTAGTAGTATCAATACAGAAAATTTTGCACAATTATATTTTGCATAACACTTGCAAATTTGCTAAAAATGTAGGAAATTTCCTACCTTGTTGGTTCAAAAGCCCATGATGGGTTATCCATTGAGCATGCGAATGTTTCATGGTGTTGAGTTCTCTACCCCGCCCACGAAAATAATGCATATGAAATTGTCATGGAGGTTGTCCCTCCATAATGCAGATTGTCTATGTAAATTTGATACCCTTGGATCCCAAATTAGCCTAGCATAGGTAAATATTTGAAACAGAGACAACAAGTTATTTACCTTTTAACACTTCTAAATGTTTCTGGAGACGAAGGTAAATCACTCTCTAAAAAATTGAGAAAGGTACTGCATACTATATCTTACTTTAGATATGAAACTAGAGGAAATCCTAAACAAACATGGGTTAAGGGGGTTTTTTTTTGTTTCTATTTGTCTGACGGAGTATAAAGAGACAAACTGTCTGAATTGAACTGTCTAAGGAATGGCAGAAGTAATTAGCTCCTACTTGTTCAAGAACTTGAGAATTATATTTTGGAGTGTAATTAGTACAATGGTCTGTTGGATGCACACAAGTGGCAAGATTGTGTATTTTTCCTTTGAAATAAGCTGTTAAATTAATACATTAAATTCAGTAGGTGAGCTTTTAACGAGCATGTGCAGTTCTTTTGAACTATAGAGAGGTTTTTACTGTTGCCTGTTGATATTCAGTTACTTTCTCTGATGAAAAGCAGTTGGTAAAAATATCAACTAGAGTATACACAAAGGCAGGTCATGACTAGGTGAACTGTTTTTAGATACCATGATCTTGGTCGTACATCTATGAGTATCATCTGAGAGTGATATAATTAGGGTTCTACTGCATATGGATGAAACATAGGCAGTATGTAAACATATCTCCAACTCCATTACGGTATATTCGATTGCAATAAGATTATCCATGTCAGCGAGCAGGTCATGAAATAGAACAAATCTGCTATTATTGTTGACAAATCATGAACTGTTTAAGTGCTATGAGGTTTGTTGGAAATCTATGAGAGTATATATAGAATGTCACAATATCTATAGAAGCACAATTTTAGAGCTATTATGGATTATGTCATGATATTTGGCCATGCAATAAGATCATCAAGGTTGGACTTTAGGTCACATGCCTAAAAGTAAATTTTGGTTTTACTCATGAAACTATTCAGAGGGCCTTTTAGCACACTGGAGATATAGGTATCTTTTTTTTCTTCATCAGGAGTCAAATGAATTGTTTAATATGTAAAGAGTTTGATGTTCCCGACTTCCAATATTTTGAGAGTAATAGTATATGTGTTGTTTCCCTTTCCTTTGGAACTCTAATATTGAGGAATAATATTAGGGTTAATTGTGGATGCACCTAGGTACTATCGCCCAATAGCGCCCCCCATAGTTCTATTATTGCACATAGACCTCCGACTGATTTTTTTGACTCTTACCCTCAGAGAAGGAGAAAATTGGTTTTTTTACATGGACCTCCAGAGGGTAAAAGAGAGAAAAAAAAATCACTACCCTCACAGAAAGAGAAAATTGGTTTTTGACAAATAGATCTCCTAAGGGTAAAAGAGTCGAAACAAGTTCACTCAGGGGGTCTATCTGCAATTAACCCATAATTTTTCTATCTGCAATTAACCCATAATTTTAAAAA